GACAGCGAGAGCACGTCTATGATCATAGTTCATGTACATTTAAAACATGAATTATTTTGGTGGGGATGACATAGACTCAGAAATGTGCCCACAGGAGCAAACAGCTCAATGCATTTCACGCTGTGGACACACCCAGCAGCCATTAGGCTGTGACGTTGTCTGGAGCCTTGGGTACGCTTGACTGACCAGTTAGGCCGAGTGCCACGGGAGGGGCTGCCTGGGCCACCCTCTGTGAATCAGCCCAGCTTCTTGTTCCTGGTGCACTCGGAAAACGATGGATCCTCCTAGGGAGAAAAATTATCCCCAAAAAATGCTTGCGTAGAGTTCTGGAAAGGAAAGAAAAACAAGATAGTTAAGTGGGATGGATGAATTGAAGATGACGCAGGAAGTGTTAGGCCATATCTTATAGAAATAGTGGCATATGGCTGGGCGCAGTGCCTCATACCTGTAATCCCAGCACTTTGGGAGGCTAAGGAGGGCAGATCACAAGGTCAGGAGATCAAGACCCTCCTGGCTAACATGGTGAAACCCCGTCTGTTCTAAAAATACAAAAACTTAGCTAGGCATGGTGGCACACACCTGTAGTCCCAGCTACTTGGGAGGCTGAGGCAGGAGAATCGCTTGAACCCAGGAGGCAGAGGTTGCAGTGAGCCAAGATCACACCACTGCACTTGAGCCTGGGGCAACAGAGCAAGACTCCATCTTAAAACAAAAAAAGAAAAGAAATCGTAGCATATCCAACATTTCTGCCCAACCTCCTTTGCTCAGCTGGAAGAAGCAAGAACCATTAACAATGTCACGAGTAAATGTAGTTAATTCTAAGGCATGACTTGCTTGAGAGCAGGAATGCTGACATCAGGGATGTCTAAAGAAGCTGTGTTTATAGAAACTTAATTGAACCTTTAGGCTGACAATGGGCTTAATAAAAATGGCCTCTTTTTGCTACTTGATCGCATGAAATCCAGTGAAATGAGTCAGAAGAAAAGTGACCTAATACATATTGCCACTCCATCAAATTCACTGTCACAGGGAGCTGTGGATTTAATGATACTGACCAGACTTTACAAGTATTGGGTTCTTTTGGTCCATTAATAATATTTAGGGTGTGTGGTAACCACAAACGATGGTGAGCCTGGAATAATGAGCCTTCAGGTCTCGGGGCTTATCCTGCTTTCTGGTTATGTTTTCCATATAGGATTACATAATTGGCTAGCAAATGTATAATGGTTTGGATGTAATAATGGCATAGTCTGACTTCCTAGCGGCCCCTGACTTTCCGAACACCAGATTCATCCAAAAACTTAAAAACCAAATAAATATTCCTTCAAGTGATTACTGCATTCCAGTTGTCATCTGGCTTGTAATGACTGGTTTTCAGTGTTCAGCGATGGCCCGGGCATAAAATAAATCTCGCTCCGATCCTCCATGTCAGCACCGGCATTAAAGCCCATAAACCATCCTCTGCCTCGCCTGTCATTGCCACCGCGTTCTGAGTACTGGCTAATAGAAACCTGCCCCGCCAGCCCAGCAGCCACCAGACAGACGTTTTATGGTTGCTGTTCCCTAAGCCAGATGAAAATGATTAGAAACTACAAGGGCTCTTTTGATATGACCTATTAATAGCCACGTTATTTTGTGATGAGCGTAGCAGGGAGCCTTGGCATGGAATGGGCGAAGAGTGGGCACTGTCTCCCATCTCCCAGGGTGATGCCTGGGGTTGCCCCACGCCTCGGCCCCCGGGACAACATTGTGCCTCCATCTCCCACACTGCTGCTGCCGGCCTCCTTCTGTCCCTCCACTGGGAAAGAATGTTCGACATTCAAGCTATTCCAGGCAGCATCCTTTATGTCTCGTTTCACGGGTCTGTTTCACACCGTGGTGAGCGCTAGCTGTAACTCTCATACCTCGGCTATTTGTCTTGGCAGCTCCTCCTGTTTTGCTAACTGGACAGAATCAGGCAGAGGCGGCCTCCCCTGCACACAAGGGAAGGGGTGACATCTGTCATCCTCTTCTGCCTGCGGGACGCCCACAGAGGCCTCTGGGCAGGGCCAGAGGGTGAACGTCCTTCATCCTTCTCTTTCTCCCTCTCTGAGCTGTGAGAAAAATGCTGAGAGAATGATTTTGCTCACAGCCTTTTGGGCAGACATTGAAGCAAAACAGATGACAAGGGTTGGCAGGGTTCACTCAGCAGTGGATATCTGGGGAGGAGACCCAGGACTCCCACCCGCCACGCTGGCCACCTGTGGCAAGTGTATGCACTTTGCACACTCTCCAAGCCCTGAAAGCACCCGCATGGGGGGTGTGTGTTTTCCATGTGCCCAAGTGGCATGGCACCACAGGCACCACCCAACAGGGCAGGGGCATTAGCCCAGGCAAACCTTTCTCATAAGTTTAGATCTCTAGGCTCATCAAAATGGTTGAATACCTCCTGATGCCAAGGGAAGGAGAATGCGCTGGGGAGGCACAGCTTTAAAGTAGAATTTCTCCTGAATTAGGGATAACACTGTCAGGTTGCAGAGTTTAAGAAAGAACATAGAGTAACGAAAGAGGATTCAGAATTCCGAGAATGAGTTCTAGTCATGTGTCAGACGGGGTTATCTCACTACTGGCTTCTGCTGAGGGAAGTAGGGATGAGAAATTGGCTTCATCCAAGGGTGGCTACCATATTTCTGTGACTCATGGCCTGTGTCTGGCACTGGCCTTCAAGAAATGTTAGCTCCAGGCTGGGCGCAGTGGCTCACGCCTGTAATCTCTAGAAATTAAGAGTTTTTGATGTAAGAGGCAGAGGGGAATAAAGAGGTTTTTCTTGTTCAACACTTTCCTATTTTCCTAAACAAAAAGAGTCTGATGCAAAATAGAAAATTCAATTGCACACATTTTATCTAGATACTCTGTCTTATGTGGTAACAGGAACTCCAAGAGGTAATCAGACTCTTCCTTTCACAGATGATCAATTGGCACGTTTGGGAGGCCAGGCAGGTGGATCACAAGGCAGGAGAGATCAAACCATCCTGGCAACACAGTGAAACCCCATCTCTATTAAAAAATACAAAAAATACCTGGCCATGGCTGCGCGGCGCTGTAGTCCCACCTACTCAGGAGGCGATGGCAGAAGAAGGGCGTGATAACCCGGAGCGCCGAGATGGCGCCACTGCACTCCCAGCCTGGGTGACACAAGCAGACTCCATTCAAAAAAAAAAAGAAAGAATGTTAGCTCATTGTTCCCGGTTTGGTTTTCTTTTCATCGGCTTTTCCTAGAGATTTGCACTATTGAACCACATTGTTCATCTAAAAATCCTCCAGGGGTAAAAATCCCTCCAGTGTTCCTGGAATGAGTTTGAACATCTAGCAAGATGTCATCCATGGACACCCCTTGCTGTGGCCTCTCATGACTCTTTTGTGTCCAGATGGTCTGCGGGAGAGCTCAGCCTGTCCATTGGCCCAAGCCGGAAGAGAGTCAGTCAGGCAACAAGACAAGGCTGGATCAAATGAGTAAAGGAAGACAAAAATAACGGTCAGATGTAGAGCATTTAGCTCTGAAGACGGGGCCAGAACAGTCCCTCCTTGGCATTCACATGACGTGGTTAGAGATTTCAACCCAAACAGTTATCTCTATGGAGGACAGTGTCACCAAGGATCTTAACAAGTGGTAACTGAAAGCCAAGGAAAGCTTGGTAATTAATTTATTCTGGAAAGGTTGTCTTACTATGGGGAAATTAATTTTTTTTGAGACGGGGTCTCACTCTGTCGCCCAGGCAGGAGCGCAGTGGTGCGATCTTGGCTCACTGCAAGCTCTGCCTCCTGGGTTCACGCCATTCTCCTGCCTCAGCCTCCCGAGCAGCTGGGACTACAGGCGCCCGCCACCACGCCCGGCTAATTTTTTGTATTTTTAGTAGAGATGGGGTTTCACTGTGTTAGCCAGGATGGTCTCGGTCTCTTGACCTTGTGATCCGCCCACCTTGGCCTCCCAAAGTGCTGGGATTACAGGCCTGAGCCACCGTGCCCGGCTGAAATGAATTTTTAAGGAAGCCACAGAGAAGTGACAATTAAAATGAACCATGTGTGGGCACTTTTTGGCAGTGTTTCGGGGCTTTCCTTGCCTCTATAGTGACCTTTTCTCATCTACTCCCTCGTGGGAAGGTTTTGGAGCTGTTTCTCATTGGCTCAGATTCATTGGCCAAATGGACTCTTAGCTTCACTCCTCCACTCCTGCCCACAGGGTCTTGAGAAATTTGTTTCACCTTATTGAGCCTCAGTTGAGTCGTCTGTGAATAGGAAGAGTCTTGATTACCTCTTGGAGTTCCTGTTATACATAAGACAGAGTATCTAGATAAACTGTGTGCAACTGAATTTTCTATTTTGCACCAGACTCCTTTTGTTTAGGAAAATAGGAAAGTGTTGAACAAGAAAAACCTCTTTATTCCCCTCTGCCTCTTACATCGAAAACTCTTAATTTCTAGAGACAAATACCTCAGTTTCCGTTGTAGCATATTTCAGTGTCTTTCATCACGGACAGCCAAAAAGTGTTATCTAGTTCATAAACGATGCACTTCCCTATTTGTCAGGACTGCTTGCACCAAACAGGGATTTCATTGTCACCTGGAGAGCGTGGCTTACATTTCGATGGGAGAAGACAAGGAAAGTTTTGGAGCATAGAGCGAGCTTCCCAGTCTCTGGAAGGACGGCACAGTAGAAAAGGGGCACCCCCAGCCCCGAACACGTCACTAGTGAGTATCACGGATGTCCAGGGCCTTGGCCTGGTTCCATATAGGCACTGTCCAGGCAGCCAGCTGAGGCTCCATGCAGGGTCTCCACTTCCTCCTCCAGGCATGCTGCCTCCTCATCCCTTTCAGCGGGGTCATTTAGGGCTGGTATGCTGGTTCCCCAGTACGGGAATCGCCAATTTGCCGCTCTTGTCACTTTTCCCTTGTCATGCTCTGTCTCTCTCTCACACACAGACACCTACTATTATTTAAAACATTGCTTTTGGCACTTCCCAGGCCAAGCTATAAATAAAGGATGGACTGACCTCATCAACTGTTAAATTGGAGCCATGATGCGTTGCCTGGAACATCGCGGATGACTCCGAGCAGCACAGCAGACCAACGGCTGAGAAAGAGCTCATTTGGTTCATCTAACTAGGATGCCGTCCTGCCAGAGCCCTGGGGGTTCTCATCTCCTGGGGCAAGAGCAGCATGCAACCCTCATGAACCCATCTTGGAGGGCAGTCGGGGAGCGCAAGACAAGACCATTGGGAGCCTCAGGGTCGCTCTGGGTGGTCTCTGTGCTGGAGAGCTGTACCTCTCATGAAAAAGACAGCTGACCATAAGAAGGAGGTAAGTTACTCACGGACAGGAAAATAAGAAACTCCTACTTACGGCTGTGATATGCGTGGTAGCCATTTAATGTTAACGGCATCCATGTGAGACAGGTGCTAGTACTACCCCATTTCATATTGGAGGACATGTAGGCACACAGATTGTGTGACTTGCCCAAGGCTGCCCACCTGGTTAGGGGAGCTCCAGGATTCCAATCCAGTCTGAACTCAACACCCGGGGTGGCACCTACAGGCTGGGGTCAACCTGGATGACTGCCTGTTGTATGGCCTGGCAACTAAAAATTGTTTTTTACATTTTGAAATGGTTGAAAAAATTAAAATAAGACGATATTTCATGACATCATGAAATTACATGAAATGCGAGTTTCAGCATCTACAAATACAGTTTGACTGGGACATAGCCACTCTCATCTGTTTGTAGGCTATCCATGGCTGCTTACAGGGTCCACATAGTCCACAAAGCCTGAGATATTTGCTCTCTGGCCTTTTACAGAAGAAGTCACCAAACACTATTCTAAAATGTTAGCATGCATCAGAACCCCTTGTGGGGCTTGTTAGAATGCAGCTTCCTGGCCCCACACCCAGTCTCTGATTCAGTAAGTCTGGGGCAGGGCCTGGGAATTTCATTTCTAAAAAATTTCCCAGGTGATGCTCATGCTGGTCCACAGATCACTTTGAGAGCCACTACCCTGAACTCCAGTGCTCTACTGCTTGTCATCAGGGTGGCCAAGTCTTTCTCACCATGGCACCATGGTGAGTGCCAAAGAAGCCTAGACATCCCTAGTGCCACCTGCTGTGCAGCCACCTTTTGAGAAAGTGTCCCCAGTGATCTTTTCCCAGGTTAGCCTTTGTGGCTTGGGCAGCTGGCTTTTCAGAGATGTGAAACCACACATCTTCAGAGTGAACAGCTGCTTGCCCTGATGTGCTCAAGGGGTGCAGGATGTGGACACATCCTAGTGAATGAGTCAGACAATGTAACCAGATCTGTCCACAACAACCTGATGGGTGACATTGCCATCTGCAGCAGTGCTGTACTTCCTCCCACCGATTTGTAAAGTGCAGTCAGGACGCTAGATCAACTCGCTGCTGCTGAGGCCAATGACCTCTAGGGCATATTTCCATGTTCTGTGCAGTAGCTGCTCGCCTTTGTAAGCATGTGAGTTATTCATGCTGTCTGTTGTGATCCTAAGGAATCCAGCAGTCAGAACTAGAACTTCTGAATTACAGCCCAGCATTGCTGTTTGGCATCACCAGAAAGCAGATTTTGAGATTAGCATGGGGGCTGTTTAGCGGGGCATTCTCTCTGGAGCAATGTCTAGCCGGGGTGGGACTGGGGAGAGGGAGAAGTGGGCTGCTGAGGATATCACAGAGAGATGGCAGCCTTTCTGCAGCAAAGGCCTGAGTGCACACTCACCTGGCTATCACTGAGAGGACCCTCTGTTCAACAGGGCCACTTGGGGGTTCCCCTGCATGGAGATCTGAGTGTCCAGGGAGGGGACGTGGTGAGCATTTCTCTGTTCAAAGGGTGCAAAGGAAAATCTGCCCCATTTCTGCCAAAGTGGTTGATATGGAGGAAAGGGGAGTGCCAGTTCTATAGGCTGAGGTGGTGGCTGTTAGAACTGCTCCTGGGCTAGTTGGTGCTCTGGAAGTTTCCCCTCTATGTGAGATAAAAGAGCATATCTTTAAGAGCTGCAACTTTGAAGCTCTAATATAGAATGCTTTTAGTGGCAAGCAATACTTTGGAAGCAGCTTGAAGACCCCTGAAGATCCTTGGTGACCTAGGCAGTTCCTTTATTGCCAGGGCTGTGCAGGACTAAGCTTCAACAGCGCCACCATGGGGCAGCAGAAGTAATTGCAGTGGTGCATTGAGGGTTTTCTTTTGCACTGAGGACTCAAGCCCCACCTTCACCTTTGGACCTGGTAAATCTTTGGGGTTCATGGACAATTCTGAGAAGGAGATACTTAAGAGAGTGATGTTAGAATTTGATGTTTTGGTTTATTGTACCAGAAAATAAAAGAGGTTGGATTTATAACTCAGTTTGTGGTTCATATCAATTTAAATAGCTTTGAAATGCTGATAGGACCATCATGGTTTTTTGGTTGCTGAAATCCCATAACCAAAGCAATGCCTCAATAAGCTTTTAATCCACAGCTCCCACACCCAGGTCTATAACAAAGTTTTTACATGCCTATGGGGAAAAAGAATTATGAGGCAAACATTTATAAAGTTAACTTTATTACATTTCTAGTCCTATTTTTTTATTCTGCTAGTGTATTGTTATGTATTTTCCTACATATTTAGGGCAAACATTTTCTTCCTCTTATAAAATGTTAGTGATTTTAAATGATGGGATTTTTAAAAATATTTTTACTTGGCAAATAAAGACTTAGCAACCTAATACCTACCTCTCAAAATATTTGTAAATTGTACTGATCTATAAAATCCATTAAGTATGAGATTTGTTGATATGATGACTCATAAAAGCAATGTAATCCAAATTAAAATTTGTAAAATGCTGCATAATTTACATAGTATTTCTGTCTCGAGTATCTTTAAACCATCAAGTTAAGTGTGACTTCGGACGGGTGCAGTGGCTCACTCCTGGAATCCCAGCACTTTGGGAGGCCAAGGCGGGCAGATCACCTGAGGTCAGCAGTTCAAGACCAGCCTGGCCAAAATGTTGAAACCCCGTCTCTACTAAAAATACAAAAATTAGCTGGGTGTGGTGGCATGCCTTGTAGTCCCAGCTGCTCGGGAGGCTGAGACAGGAGAATTGCTTGAACCCAGAGGTGGAGGTTGCGGTGAGCTGAGATCACACTACTGCACTCCAGCCTGGGCGGCAGAGTGAGACTCCATCTCAAACAAAGAAAAGAAAGAAAGAAAATATCCTCTAGTCACTTCTAGTTACAACAGTTTGATTTTAATTATTAGAAGACCTACTTCTATGCAGAAATATGAACTCCAAACCTCTGGATATGGGGACAGAAATTGCCATAGCACACTAAAAACTTTGTCCAAAGAAATTCTGTCTTCTATTTTCTTTGCCGTTAACCATTTTATATCCTTGAGATGGTGTTGAGTTGAGCTGCAAAGCCGGCCTTGGCCACCTGCCCTGATAGTCTTGCCTAGATGCTCCAGCACCTTGCCCTGGGACATGGCCAAATTGGCCACCTGCTGTTTCGTTCGTCCCTCTGATTTCTGTCTCGGTTGCTCTCTTTTGGAGTTCTGCAGTTGTGTATGTGCTTTTTCTTGTTCTGGGTCAGTTTTTTTCTCATCTGTCAAACCAGGACACATAATTTTCCAAGGTCACACAGTGAGGAAAGCCTTACTAAATCTTACCGCTACGATTCACGGCATTGCAGAGGCCTTGCTTGTAGAGCTGCAACAGATCTCAGAAGTTTTAGGCTAATTCCTTCATTTTACAGATGACTAAAATGAAATCCAGGGAGTTTACGTGGCATGACGAGAGCCAGAGGATCCCTTCTTAAGTAACTATGGAACAAAGCCTTTGAAACAAATACACTGGTACAGAGTTAGGCTGAGAGGGGCCTGAGCTTACACAATGTGGGCGTCCTCTTTCAGAAAGAAGAAATACAAAATTAAGTATACAATTGTTATCATTTTAGAAAGACAAAGGGAATTACCATGAATTACACACTTTCAAAACCTGTGAAATACCACAAACAGCATAGAATCCAAGAAAATAATATGTTTATTGCTTAATTGTCCAACCAATCTCTGCAATTCCTGTTTTCTTGTATTTTCGTCTGCATAATGTTTGATTGCCTTTTCCTCTGACCACAGTTTTGTAATGTCATTTCTATAGAGATAATAGTGAGAAAATTCAGTCTTTAGCACAATCGATCACAATCTGGTTCTTATTGATAATTTGAACATTTTTCTTTCAGTTTTACAACTCATTTTTGGTAAGTCATGTAAGTTTTAGTGTTATTGTCAAGTTGTGGATAACTTCTGTCAACCTTCTTTCATATGTAAGCTGTAAGATGTGGAAAATCTTTCGACAAACTGGCTTCTGACTGTATCTTTTTCAGACTTTCATCCCCTTCCCCTCCATGTACTTCCCGTGCTGTGGAGCATGTTTGGGCTGGGAGATGACCTGTGACCCTGGGGGATGACCTGTGACCCTGGGGGATGACCTGTGACCCTGGGAGATGACCTGTGATCCTGCACTTCAGGTCACACGCTGGGTGCATCAGCAGAATGGGCTTCCTGGGCATTCCCGGAAGCTATGTCCACACCAGGATGGCAGCAATGATTTTACTGTGCCTGGAAGTAATGATGAGCTGTGTAAATGTAATCCAAGCTAAGTTTATCCCAATCCTCCACTTGCTTTGACTTGGAGCACTGAAGGGCTGTGTCCTAGGTGCACATACACATACACACACACATGCACATGCACACATAGAGCCTTCTGCAATTCCAAGCATGTCCCCTCGCCCCATGAGGCAGTCAGTGGCTTCACCCCATCTCTCAGCTCCTCCCTCGGGAACATGCAAATTCCTCCAGGGAAAAAGGGATCTCCAGTGCTGAGCTCAAGTCTGCCTTCTGGAAACTGGCTTTGTAATTCTTTACAATCTTGTTAGCACCTGAGCTTCCAATTATTTCTATGATAAATTTTGAGTTACAGAATCTAGCATACAAGGAAAAAGTAAGCATACTTCTTAGGAGATGCGACAATATGTACGAATACCAGCTGAAACAGCTAACAGTGGCAACAGAGCCACAAAGACTCCAGAGAGTGGAAGTACAAATTTATAGAAATAGCAGAAGAAAATAGAATGTTTAAAAGATACACAAACTTTCATATAATTATTTTTACTATGTTCAAGGAGATAAAAGACAATAGAATTTCAGCAGACATGAGAGGTTGTAGCGTATGCTACAAAAACCAAAGGCAAATTGAAAAACCAAAAAATTCAGTAATCAAAATTAAGAACTCATTGGTTGTCTTTGACAGATGAGTCATTGAGGATAATTGGAAAGTAGGATAGGAGAAAACAGAATAAAACATGGTAAGGATAAGTAATGGAAAACTACAGAACAGTTGGTCAGAGACAGAGGATAGAGTAATAAGGTTTAATGTCAGCAAAAGAGGAGAGACTATGCAAAAGAAATTTTAAAAGTGTAAGGACATAGGAAAAAACAAACTCAGTTTCTCCTGCTGTACTCTCACAACACTCACACTTCTATGACCCCAGATGTGTGGAGTTTTTCTCCACATACCAAGCAGTTCTGCAGATGCCTCTCCAGTGGGCACCAGCTGGGTGTCTTCTAATTCAGCTCAGCTCTGACAGTGTCTAGCTGGAGATTGTGTCAGATCCCACAGGTTGAAGGCTCATTCCCACAAGTCTATCCCTCAGCTCAGATGCCAATTGCAGCACAGGTGGTGACCTGTGCTTTTGACCAACCAGCTATAAGTTGGGGTTCCACCAACCCCCTCCTTGGGTTTATTTAATTTGCTAAAGTGGCTCACAGAACTCAGGGAAATTCTTACATTTACACATTTATTATAAGGATAAATTACAAAGGATACAGATGAACAGCCAGATGGAAGAGATACATAAGGCAAGGAATGGGAAAAGGGGCACAGGGCTTCCATGCTCTCTCTGGATACAACACCCTGCAGGAGCTTCTACATGTTCTGTTATCTGGAAGACCCAGAGCTCAGTCCTTTTGGATTTTTAGGGAAACTTCATTAGGTAGGTCATGATTGATTATATCATTGGCTGTCGGTGATCAACTCAATATTCAACCCTTCTATCCTCCCTGGAAGTGAGAGAGGTGGTTGGGGTCTGGGGGAGTAGGAGGTAGGCTGAAAGTTTCAACCTTCCCTCCTGGGAGGGTTGAAAACAGCGAACAGTCCCCCACCAGAGACTATCGAGGAGCTCCAGTCATCTCATTAGCATACAAGAGCCACTCGCCACTCCAGAGATCCCAAGGATTTGGGGAGCTATGAATCAGGAAACCAGAAGACCAAATATACATTTCACAATATCACAGGAAGAAACATGATTAAGAACTTTCCAAACTAACTATAATGTAAAAAATCTGAAACATAACTTAAATGTCACAAAATCTGAAAACAAATTATTTTCAATTAACTTTCTGATGCAGCTCTAAAATACTTTTTCTTACCTATTTTGGTTGTACCCTCTTTGATCACCTCCTCAAAACACAACAGTTTTTGCAGTACCATTTTCTATAGAGAGAATAGAAAGATAATTCAGATCTTTCTCTAGTGTGTTTTGTTAAAATTTACTATTGAAGATTTCGAGAATTTTTTTTACTTTCCCTTTTCAATTCAATATTGGTCACATTATGTAAAGTTCAATATGGTCTAGATTTGGGGAAACATTCATTATATATGAACTGTAAGATTTGAGAAATAAAAATAAAATTCTAAGCCCCCACGCAGCTGAACAGATCCCCTCTTGACCAAGGGGGCCCTGAAGAAACCTTAAAAACTGGGTTCCTGGCCATGACAGGAGGAAGGTCAGCCGGCCTTGTTATACCACCCCCCTTGCTGACTGCCGTTGGCTTTCTCTTTGAGGATTACACAGAAACCAGCCCTTTGGAAAGACTTGCTCCACTTCCGATACCAACCAGCCCTCATGCTGCCCCTCCCTTACAATTTTGACACAGGACTCACCATCATTCCTTCCTGATGAGAGACCACTAGCCACAGAGTGGCTCTGGCCAGCTAGGGACGCTACACACAGAGGCCCTCCATGTCCTCGGCTTCACCTTTTGATGTTTAGAGCCTACTTGTAATACATTCAAATGTTAAGTCTCCCCAAAGTGAGCAGGGAAGCACGTTGCATGCCTGTTAGCTACTACACATGCCCTTGCTTTCCTGTTGTGAGTGTCCATCACTCCTCCTATGACTTGCTGAACATGTATACTTAGCCAACCTCCTCAGCGTACATTCCAATTCCATTGATCCCTCCCCTGAAGTACTTCTTATGGAGGTTACACTTCCCGGTCTGCAAGATGGTCAGCCTGCAGGCTGCAATGCTTTATGAGAAATAAAACTCTTTTGCCAAATTTACGAACCTCATTATTCTTCAGCTGGCAGATTTCAGGGCATTTCAGTTTTTCATCTACAGTGACTGAACATATTCATTGAATTGATGACCTGCATGAGCTGGTTTGGTTAATGATTTCCTATAACAAACTTTTGCA